ATGTGTCGATGAGCCAAAGGAAATGATGAAGTCAGTGCTGCTTGCCTGGATGTTACCTCTGTTTGTCTTTCTTTTGGGTAGGATTCCTTTAAAAAGATTTATATTCTGATTCCTTGTCCGAACCACTTCTTAAAAGGATACTGGTAGCGTTTGAAGGATGCTTACCGAGCAGATCATACATACTTCATCCCTATATATCTCTTGCTCCAAGGTTGTTGACACATTTGAACAGTCGAACTCGATTGGGCTGTCAGTTTAAATTTCAGGAGAAGTCAAACAGCACTCGCTACTTTGCGAAGAACGATTGGGATCCAATTTAGGGAATTTAATGTCTTCTGACCATCCTTTGCTTATTTTCTGAGATCATCGATTAGTTTTTACTGTTATTCACCAATTCTACTATTCTTCACAAATTTACCATCTTTACAATTCTTCTTTCTTTTCTTTCTAATAGAATTGAAACGTCTTCTTTAACCTTTCTCCCTCTTCCCTCTGTATTCTCCAATTCACAATTTAGTAGCGGCCTTTTGCCGCCGCGTCCCAGAATCGATAAATGCCAGTCAGGAAGCTTCTTTGAGAATGTGGATTACGACTTACACTGGAATGAGCACTATGAGTGAACCTCTCTCGAATTGTACGATTTGAAAAGTGATTTTACCATTCCTTTTTCCAGGCTATTCAGTGGAAGCTAAATGTGAAAGTAGCAATCCACAATTAATAAAGTATTCCTTCCATGGCGACCTCGCTGCGTGCTTCTATACAAAACACTACAGCGGAAAATGTCCGCATGATTTCACTCAAGATTGAAGATTTTTGTGACGCCAGCTATGGAAAACAAAGGGCCTGTTGTATCATACAACCTAATTTTAAAGTGAAGGTAACACATGTTCCAACCATGCATTTTTTTTAAAAAAATATTTTGTATTCTGACTGTCAGTTAAAGAAGAACTCCTTAAATTCCCGCGCAATTAGTTAGAACGAGTTTAAGCGTGAGGCTAATCTCTTACTCAAATTCCTTTGATTTTTCTATCAGCTATATGAATATATTTTACAAACAAGAACAGAACACAACAAACGTTACACCAAAAATACTGCGATGCGGCTTTCTTGCATTGCACATTGCTTATTGTCTATCAAATCTACAGCGCAATTCCTCACTCAAATCACAATATTAAAAGCTGCTTTTATTGCAATGGTAAGGCCACTAACATTTGAAATATTTGTAAAAAATTCGTTAAAGAGCCATGGACTTATTACATCAAGATTATCAAATCAGTACTCAAGTTTCAGTTTTCCACGTCAATTTGTCACCAGACCTAGGTGCGTGGGTGCAAGAGAGCACTTTCGTTTTCTTTCCTTTTCCTTCCGTAGATTGTTGGTTTTTTTTCAGTGTGTCTGCCGGCAAATAAAAGGAAATAAATGAAGTAAAATATTTTCCAAGGATTCTGATGTCTCTCTCACTAATATTTATTCCGAACAATCTTTGCATTACCTTATCTCTCACATTAAGTTTTTAGTAAGATTAGATTGTTAAAGCGCTTTTCCTTTTAAAATCCCTGATAAACATTCACCGAATGGTCCAAAGTATACGTACTGGAAAATGTCGAGTGAATGCAACTTATAGTATCGGAGAAACAACGTCGTTCATTTAAACAGAACTTTGTATGTCTGGGTTGATTTTGAAATCTCTTCCCCCATAGAGCAAATTTATATGGCTTTATCAAAGTTTCATAAAACAATCAATTTCTTTCACCCAAACAGCTCTAACATCTTTCTCATCGTGGTGTAGGTATTACTTTCCTGCGCAGTTTAATGTTTAATGGTGTTAAGTCATGGTTTCAGTTAATGATTACACACATCAGGTCAAACTACCAAAACAGTGCCTGGGGGTCACACTGTCAAACAGAGGGTAGTCACCAGATTGTAGCTACGAATTAAAACGCCGTTAGAATCTTGCCGGAATCGGCAACATTTCGGGTACTGGCTGTTATTATCAAGAGCCCCGCAGCCAGCGTAGAACTATAACGTTCGCTTTTCAAAATCTTACGCCGACAGTTTACTTGTTACATTTCAAAGCTTGAAATTCACTTTTTTTATTAGGAGCTTTGTTTGCATTTGAAAGCCACGCTGAGTGGAATCCATTATTTAAGCACCACAAACACAAAATGAATGTAGTTAGCGGGTGTATTCTGGTACCAATTTTCGTATTTATCTATAAATTATGTGTCAAATCACTGAAGTCATAACGTTTGAAATTTACAGAGCAGAGAAAATTTTAGACAGGCAATTTTATCACTTCCTCCACTTCAGACTATAGGTGTACTTCTAACACCAAGACTACCAGTTGATGTAAGCTGAAATTAATGGTCAAAATCCGACAAATACTAACGGATTGTTTGAAAAGCGAAAATCGTTCAGTGCTTTGGTTTTATTTTGGTTTATATCTTTCATCTTGGCTCGTACTTGCTCGCAGTTACTCTCTCCCAAGGAATATAAAACTACGTAAGTTTTTACTCCAGATTTCTACTAAATATCCATTCTTTATTCAATTTTCTCTACAATACCATTTTTACACCCCAAAATTCTGTAACACCTGCATTCATAGTTCTAGACTTGTAAAAGCCAACTATTTCGCTTGTATCTGCAGATATTCCAAGTTGGAGTTAAAAAAGAAAAATCTATGAGCGGAAAAATTATTTTCATTGTCAGTAATCCAACATTGTTCAGTATCTGGTTAGATACCTTTGCTTTCTATTACTTTTACGTAATCATATGGGACCGTGCCTTGTATAGTTTTATTATTTAAGGTTAAGCTGAGTTTCCTAACAACCACGAGTACATCGCGATGGCGTAAGAAGTTTTGCTTAATTTAGAAAACATTGGCATCTTTAATTTGTTGAATGAACCTGACCACCATGTCGCATTGGCTTTTAAAAGACCTCAATTAACTTTTGAAAAGTTCACTTTTAGCAATGAAAATTTTCTTTCGTTCCGGCCCTCATTCTAAAGCTTAATAAGTTTCTAAGATCTTTTCATTGAGCCTGTCTCAAGCCCAAATCAGAAAAACATGACACATGCTAAAAGACCATCTTCTCATAATGCAAAAGTTGTTTTGATCTTCCATTTTACTCTATTCATTTCAGAATCGCCAGTGTCTTTCTGTCATACACAGCATGAAGTTCTCAGCTTTTGCAGTTGCCCTTCTCTCGATGACACTTTTAGGTAAGAAGACAAGCTCAGAGAATACAGTGCAGCCGTCAATTTTATTTGAAAAATTTAAAAAATAAATGAGCTATTTCAAGGCTTTTCTTTTTAAAATTATACCGGAGTTTCTGTAAGGGGAAATTCCGCAAGTCTACGCGCAACACGCTGATGAATGCAAAGGCAATTATCAGCTTTTGAATGCTGATCTATATATATTTTTTCTAATCCTGGCCTTACCAGTGCACAGTGACTGTGGGGAACAGATTTACACCAAATGGGCCAAATGTGTGAAAAACATCAGCATGTCTTCCCGATTTCTTACCCCTTGAGGTCAACGATGGAACTTGTCCAAGGAACCACTTGTGCTTTCTTACAAGACCAAAAATAAATTTCAACGTGACGTTCAAACGATTTTTTTTTTTTTTTTGCAATGCATAATTATAGTTTTTGCTTAGATGGTGAGTATCGTTTAGTTCTAAAAGTAACTCGATTCATCTCGCATGGACTCATACCATAAATTCAACATATTGCCGATTTTCAATGGGAGGTGGGATTTAAATGTCATGGAATAAAATTTAATTTTTCATTCATTTTGTTTCATTTTCTTTTTCAACAGATGGTTGAATCCCATTATGACACAAATAAATAGAAGGTGGCAATGACAAGTTCTCCATTCTTAATGAAAAAACTGTTCCAATAATTAATAGGTAATTAAAATTCGTGTAACTTCGTTCTCCTGATTTCTCTAAATAAAGTGGGAATAAAATCACCTTTGACATGAACGTCGCGAGTGGCTTTATCAGAATTACGGTGTTCTAAGTTCGTTTGTTTTTGCACGACTGAACTCTCTCACTGTAACTGCTCGAGTGTGTTGCAGCGGTTTCTTCGTTGACATGGTTGACCATATGGAATGAAAAGCCAAAAAAAGAAAAAGAAATTTTTAGCTGGAAACATGAAATTTTAAGATGCACCAGCTACGATTTAAAAGATAAGCCCTTCCAAGTCTTTCAACAGCCCCTTGAACCTGTTATTTTTTTGTGGATGGAAAGGTTTTCTCCGTTTCCTACTCCTCTTTTTTATATGATCGAGCAACCGCGGCACAGTTACTGAAGAGTAAAATGGCACTGACAGTATTTTTGGCTGCTACAGCGAGAGTTGATTCTCACTCCAACCTCAACCCCTGGGCAGGGCCTTAGCAGAAACCTGTCTCCGTCCATTAAAAAATCAAGAATACTAGCCAAGTTTGGAAAACAGCGGCTACCCTGCATTCAGTCATAACCATTCACTGTCCCTTTTCTCTTTTGGCTATTGCATACCTCAAAGCAGAATGCTAGAAAGCAAAGCTGTTGCTTAATCATGAGGGATAACAGAACTGACTTTAGATTTCATCCTATTCGAAAGGCTGATTGCATCTCTTATAGAATATAAACGACTATGTTTACATCATGAAAGGGTTCTGTAGTTCACCATAGCGAAAATGAGCTTGAATGGGGTAAAAAAAAAAACCGTTCTGCAAGAAGAAAATAAAGAGTATTCTGAGATGACCTGTGTGAGTTCCGCTGCTAGATAATTCAGGTTTAACGCCGGGAAACGTGATCAATGTATCCCGTCTTTTAGATATCTTTATCAGGAAAAACATTGGGATGGCGTCAAGTCCTCATTAAATTATTACTTCATTGATTTCATTAGTCCCATGCAAACCCAATCCAGTTTAAATTTAGCAGCATATTTTAACAACAGACGCTAACACTAGTATTCCTTCATCCATAACGTTAAATGCGACAACATTGAAGCGCTAGATCGCCTTCTTTCAAATGCAAACTAGGCACGCCTAGCGGAATGTGTTGTTTCTTTACTCTCGATATGCAAATCTCAATCGAGAGCAACGAAAATTCTACTTGGTTCTTTAGTTGTTCTTCACGCTTACCTTTTCAAGAGGGCGATAAAGCCAGCAAAGTGTACCTGTTTGAAGATGTCGTCGCAGAAATACAAGGTTAAAAGGTAGGTGAAATCTATAAAGCTCCAGTGCAAGGTTTACAATGTCGTGTAGTGATATTTACTGATGAAGAACAGCCTCAGTCAAATATGGAAGAGCAGCAGTACTCTCGGTATGCAGATATTTACGATAAAAAACTGGGTGAGGTAAAAGGAGTCATCAACGAAATTCCGATGAAATTTGTCAATTTGCACATTTAACCGACAAGTTTGCTAATTTTGCTTAAGCAAGTTAAGTGTAAATGTAGGGCTCTCAACTGATTAAAGAAAAAAAACCCATCACAATAACATCGATACAAAAGTTATCACAGGTCTTTTAAATTGATTTAGGAGTCATTGATCGGTCATGTTTAGACAAATTCAGTTCAATTAATGACTTAGCCAGGTTGCTCTTGATTAGCTTTCGATCATAAGTATATGGAGCAAAGCTGTTGTTTAAGATGTTTCGCTATGTTTGTATGCAATTCTTTATCAATAACAATTCTCATTATCTAAAGAAAAAGACAAAGAGACAGTTTGAGAAATCAACTTTGCCTTGAGACGAGCTTTGAACGAGGCCCCACAACGCATTCTTGTCACTTTCTCATCGGCATGAGTAATGAAGATAATCAATCAGAAAACTTTGTGATCCTGAATCGTCTTCATCAGTGTTTATTATTTTGCTTTGCTCCGAGCGCTCTTTCGTTGACGAGCTTTTAATACACTGAAGGTCAGCTAGCCTGAGTAAACTCCGCAGAACACCAGGAATCTGTCCACAGTTATTTGCCATTGCTTATGGACATAAGTTTTCGACTTTGAAGAATCATGTTTTTTTTTTTTTGCCTTACTGTATGCACAAGAAAACCATGAATCTCACATGAGAACTGTTCACTTAGGCTCAGTAGACTGTGGTTGGAATTTATAAACAGTTCATACATAGATAGTCAGTATTATTGTTATTATTCTAAAGGTAAGTGGCATTTTAAGTTAAAATAGTGATAATAAACTACAACAACTGGTTTCATAGACACTGACTTGCAGGGTATCAAAGATGTGTTAAGTAACAAGCAAATGTTCCAGGGTTTTCCAGAAGCGAAATGTTCAATGGACTGGAAACAAACAATTGCAATATTTACGAACAGATCACACTATGCCCTCATACTTCTATCTAATGTAACAACAATTATATCATATTCTTCCTCAATACATCACTAAAGGCTTTGGTCAGCAAAAAATCATTGTCAGGAGAAGGAAAACTGCGTATGCAGTCGATCGCAAGTAACTAATATATTTCCTCAAAAATCTAGTTTAGCATAATTAATGAAGCAAAGATGGTACTGACCGCAGATTAATGAAAAAGACTTAACTCCAAATATCATCACGCGACTTAATAAACTCTGCGAGCGATGCTAGGAGAAGACTGGACCTGAGACGATTAGCAAGTCTATCAATTTTTTTTTTTTAAGTTTTCATGGAACTGGTTAATTAAAACAATTATCAGCTCACTAGCAGAACGAGCCAATTTGACTGCCGATTAACTTTTTGATTGCCTTCTTCAAAAGCTGAGTAAATGATTTAGTTATGTTTAGTAAATACGTGTCATGATTCAGTTCCCTGCTCTTGCTGTTTTGCCTCAGCTCTCTTCTCTCTTCGTTGGTGTCATTTCTCTTCCAGAACATTATAATTAAATTCTAACTTTATCATGATTAAATTCAATTTTATCATAATTTAATTATACTATAATTTACGCGAGTTTTTGTCTTCTATAATTTCTTCTTACTCACTTTTTGAGAAAACATGTTACTTCTTCTAAATCCTTTGACTACGCTGTGCATTTTTTGTTCGTACTGGGTATTTATCTTCACTATCTTCGATTAAAAAGCCCTTTTTTCTAGCTGCTAAGCTGGCTGACTGTTAGAGATAACAAGCTCGAAAAATGAATATGAATTCAACTTGTACATTTTACTTCTTTCGATAGTGCTGAGGAATTTGACGAAGAATTCAAAGGGAAAGTGACGGCATTTAGCCGAGCACTGCGTGGATTGGAAGATAGAGCAAAGAAATGTGAATCTTTAAAGTTATTAGTAAGTAAAGTTTTCTATGTTTTGTTAACACACGAAAATTTTTGCTGTCCGGGACACCCCTCTGTCACAGACCTGATGGAACTTGGTTGTTCACCAGGTTTTCAACAAAAATTCTACCAGGGCAGACAAAAACCCTGAATTCTTCGCCAGGGAGGCCAATGACATTTTAAAATCTAACCATATATGTATATACATGCAAAACTGTGTGACCCAGTATTCAACATACTGTTTGATATATATGGCAAGAAACATATTGCATTAAATTTTGAAAGCAAGTCAATTGAGGCAACTTGTATATGAGTTGCTAATCAACAGTCAAAGCCATTTAAGCAATATTCTGAAAGTCTGTCTACCAAAGTATAAAAATAATTGACCTGCCTCGACATGCTACTATTCCAGTACTACAGTGTAGTACTTAGAACAGTCTTAGATAAACTTTTTATCACGCAGTATGTAAACAAGATGTCATTGATAACTCACCAAACATAAGGTTGCTTATCGCAATGATGTCATTGCACCCGCAAGCTCTGCTTCTTCTTTGCCTCCGATCTTGATAGGCAAGGGTCTCTTCTGCCTCAACCGGTTCTAAGGTTGCCTCCTCGTCGTTATCTTCGTAGTTGTCGTCTGCATGGGGTGGTACCAATGCTCGTCTGAGTCGAGGGAATCCTAAAACTCTTGAGCTATTTCTTAAATTTCATTGTATGTCTCCACTGAGATCTCGTACGTGGTTTCCGTGTTACAGTTTCATCCAAGAACACAATCATCGCGTTGTCATCGCTTTCCCGCAGGATATGTGCGTATGCAATTGAAGCACCTGTCCAGCTGGGGTCTATGGCATAGAAAATGTTTCTTAAGAGCGCTTCCCAAGCCCGCAATCCTTTTGTACAACAGAATAAGACATGTAATACCCGACCCTTTAAAAAGCTCTCATGTAACAGAAACAAGAACGGAATTCCAAACTTGTGACTTTTTCTTGCAGGGTAGCACGCCTCACCAGGGAAACTAAAATTCTACACCAGGAGGAAAAAAAATTCACCAGGGAGTTTTTAAAAAACCACCAGGTGCCAGGGAGGTCAAAATTCCACCGGGGAAGGCAAAATAACGCACCAGGTCGGATTCCACCAGGTCGGGTTCCACCAGGTCTGTGACAGAGGGGTGTTTTAGGGCCTTTATGTGAATGCACTCGTTGAAATATTTTTTTGCAGGAGAAGGAATCCTCCAAAACAATTTCTTACGAAGGTGGAGACCAAAAGTACATGCTTGATTGGCAGCCTTATTTGAATGACTGCAAAAGAAGATTGTCGAGGTATGAATCTTTAAAACTATAAACATCCATTTTAAGTGGCTGCCATTTTGGCCGATGTAGGCTTTCAGCGACCCCTTTATCGAAAACTATTTCAAAATTGTACGGTATAAAAATTGCTTTATCTCTTTATACTACTTTTTTTTTTTAAAAACTGACGTCATTGTTTAAATTTTTGCCCATTAGCAGTAGGGTTCAGCGATGTAAGGTATCCTGTTATACCCGAAGTGTGTTTCTTGACTCAGCCAAGGAATTACTCGGAAATAATTGCCGATACAAAAGTATCTGGGTTCCTTGATAGATGTGGGTGTGGATGATCGAGTCAGTGAATCGTTTTAAAATCGTATAGTCCCGGACTTGATGCAGTTGGTAGCGGTGCATTCAGAACCTCATCTGCATTTCCTTGATCCAATAAGTCATAGTTAAGGGATAGAACTGGACAAGATTTCTGAAGAGCTAATCAAGCTAAGTGAAAAATTGGAAAAGATAGTTTGAACTTCTAGAAAATAATTTATCAAGTCACCGAAAAGGGTGCACTTTTATAACAGAAACAATTGGTTCGAGTTTCTGCAAAAAAGCGACCTCATAGTGACAAGTGTCCAATAAAACAGTGAACGAGTCGCTCCATTTTTATTTTTTACTTTTTTTCTAAAGATCCTTGGAGAAATTAAAGGAGATCCAGAATCATAGAAAACAGAGGAAAATCTCTTTCATTGGTTCCATCAAAGAGGCTCTCCCTTCCTGGTCGAAAAAGAAAACTTCTAAACATATTTTGCTTTATCAGCTGATTAATGACACAGATGACTGTCAGGTAAGTCTACTCTGAACCTCAGGATAACTGACTTCTTAAATGCAAGGCGTCATAATGAAAGGGAAAATAGGAAAACTTAGGTAAAATGTTATTTTTTCCCATCACCGATGTCAAATAATAGCATTGAATCAATTGCCTTCCAAGATCTTCCTTCAATGCTCAGGTTTTATGAGGCATTCTGATGCTTGAGGTAAATGACTTTTGTCATGCTTTCTGATCATTTTCATTCTTTATTTGTCCATTATATTTATCTTTCATATATTCGTTTTGTTCCGTTAATATTTAAATTCTCATTCAGTTAAACTTTCAGGCAGCAATAACATATAAAGATATCATGGTATCCTAGGGACATAACCTCTATGTTTTCGTGTTGTTAAATGTACTCAATTGTATTTCACAATATTGCTTGAGTCGTGCGTAGTGCAATTTGAAACCATTCATAACATTACAATTGGCCAACGGATCACGAAATGTGGAAGCTCCTCGTGCTTTTTTCTATAATATTGTAAACAAAAACATTGACCGACTCTTCCCAGCACGTCAGTGGCATATTGCTCGAGAAACTTTACAACACTCTGGAAAATTCCTTCATTTGAAAACATTGCTATTACAAACAAAAATAAGGCTTTAATTTTTTTGAAAATATGTAAGAAATTAGTGTCTTAAGCAATTTATGTTATATATTGAGAGGGTGTGGTACTGAAATGCCGTATTGTACCTCCTAACCTATTAACGCATTCTTATTGACCAATAAGGATGAAGATATTATTCGTTAAGTGTGCAAGAAATTTTTTCATCGCCACATTAATCTCTCTCCATACAGAACCTTCTGACGGACATCGTGAACCAAATCAAGCCCGCAGATGACCTCACAAGTCTGGCCAACAAAATATTTCAAGAACGAGACTCTAATCAAAACGATGAAATATCAAAAGACCTGGAAGGCATAACGATCAGGTGGAATTCACTTTGTCAAGATGTGATCAACAAAAGTGGCAGGTAAAAGTGATTAGAATGATAAGCTGTAAAATTCTTTTTTTCTACTTCGATGTGATCGAAAAAAGGTGACGTTTGGAAATAAATAGGAAAAATAGCTTGCTAAAGTGATACCTTTTGAAGGAAATTGGGTGCTGAATTTAAGGTTAAAGACTGCTCAAGCAATCTATGATAAGCCGCGAGTAGGTCAACTTAGTAGTGCCTAGAAGTATGAGCCGTGATCGCAAGATGGCCAGCGGGCAAGATAGCTCAGTAGACATCTACGAGGCCTGAAAGCGGAGAGAGATAACGAGAAAGATGACTCTGCTGCAACCCACTTTTCTGCCCTGTAACTCAGCGCTAATTTAAGCCAGCTCTTGCCTGATAACTTCCAGGCAACAAAATGATTATGTAATGGTATATGGTTATAGTTAAATGGTTATGTGATGGTTATATCCATCATCAGTTGTGCCGGGAATGGAACAACGTGTGTGTATAGATTTTGTGAAAGGATGATTGAACAATAAAGTAGAACAAGCTCATTCAATATTTACTGTGAGAGATGAAATCTGGCTTATTGCATTTCCAAGCTACCAATTAAAATTCTGAAAACCCTTCTCCTTTCAGTCTCGAATCTGTTGGTTTGGAGGTTGATCGTGAATACAAGAACCTGAATAAGTGGTATGAGAAATATGACACATTAAACACCTGGCTGTACTTTAACGAAAAGGTTCTGGACGAAAAAAGCCCCGGGAACACAATGGCTATCATCAAGGAACACTTGGAGAAAAATCAGGTAGTTTTCGAAAAACAAAACTTAGCAATAACATTGAAAACAAAAGACAAAAGCAGAAACAAACAATCACAGAAAACAAACGATATTGCAAAAACAAAACTGCGAAGTATAACTTGGAAATCAAATGTACTCAGCCTCCCCACCCCCTACGCCCTCCGCTTCCCGCTCCCCGCTCCCCTCTCCTCGCCTCTCCCCATGCCCCCAAAAGAGCAGCAATTTTAAAAGTTTTACTGCAAGAGCAGGTCACAAAGATTACAACTGTCCGTTTTCTGAGAATTCCAACCGTAAGGCCATTTCTCCATTTGAAAGAAATAACGAAATTGACAACATCTTCCTGACAATTGTTAACAACTAAGCAAAAAAAAACTCTCGCGGAAGAATTAATGAATGTGCTTTATTCTAGGGCCAGCTGAAGAATGTGAAGGATCGCAAACCCAATCTGGAGGAAGTAACCCAGGAAGCTCACTCACTTTTAGAAAGTGGCCGTTTAGATATGGGAGATGCAGAGAGGGTGGAGCGTTACAAAGAAGAATTGGACACCAGATACACAGCACTCATTGACAGGCTCCTGGCAACCCAAAACAGGTAACGACTTCTTGGCGAAAATAGCTGGCACGCAATGAGTTCAATCGATTATGAGCTATTTCCATTCTTTGGATATTTCAAAGTTTTTGTTTTTTCTGACCGGAATCCACGTCCCTTGTGTTTTCATTCGTCTTCACATTTGTCATCTCGAATCACGAAATCGAACAAAAGAACTGGAATTTAAAGGAAGCCTCTGATTAAAAAAATCACACATTGCTCCAACTCAGAAGTGTCATTTTGAATAACTGATTTTTTTCTGAGCGGCGACAAGGTCTGCTTGCTCTGTCAGAAAATAATTTGGAAAAAAGGGCGATGGTACCACTTTTGGAAGACTGATTTAATTATAACCATTCAACCCCTTTAGAGTGATTAGCTTTCAATTTATCCATGGAATAATAGCATCTTAAGAGTGAATGGAGCTCCCTAAGAGTAATTGGCTTAGAGGACTTTTGGTGGGATCATAAGGTTTTCAGGTGGAACCGAGCGGGAAATTAATCGTTACTAATTGAGTCAAAAAGGGACGGTTAGAAAAAATCGACTGCCAATCAACTGCCAAAAACAGGTGGGGGGGAGGGGGGTCATAAGAATGATAGAGAGCCTTAGGTGGGATGAGGTAAATTTATCGTGTCACAAACAAAATACTTCTTCTGCGCTTCACAATCCTCCCTTCACCCCTCCAGGCTTTAAATAACTATTTCCTTTTAGGAAACTATTTCCTTTTATCAGTCTTTGTGTCAAAATTATATGTTATGTAAAATTAGGATACAAGGTTATTTAGAGAGCCAGATGCTAAATGTTAAATGTTGTCAACAGGTTACATAGCAGCATGCATGAACTAAGGAAGAGTCCTCAAGAAACGGTAGAAAAGACAGAAAAGACAGAAACGACCATCGTAGAGGCTTCCCTAGAACCCAACCACAAGGTATGAACTAGGCTGTGCAACTTATCCTTATCAATGTGTTAATCCCAAGATCATTCCGAACTGTTTGCATTTCATTTTAGATTTCAGTTCATATTACGCACGTATTTACATTGGTTCTTTTTCAAGATCTGTTGGAGGATACTCGCATAGATGACGTTACCATTAACACCATTTAAATTTTTTACCATTTAAAAAAATTGCACCCTATATTGCCGTGGGTCTGTAAACGAACACACCTCATGTGCCCCTTTTTGGTTCTTATTACATTTTGACATTATCTCTATTACTGAACAGACGAATGGCAACATGGAGGCTATCTTTCATTGATATAACAAGCTGAATTACTTACGCATTTTGATTGGTTCTTCCTTATGATCTGTTCGAAGACAGACGCAAGATTACGTCACCAGTAACAATTTCTTGCTCAGTTCTTTATTGTATAAAACAGATAGACTTCAAATTGCCGTTGGTCTGTTCAGTAACACATCACAGAAGACGACATAATGTGGTATGACATCAGTGACGCAATCGTCTGCGGCTCGTGTGCCACTTTTTGTCCTTTCCACATTTTGACGTCATCTCTGATCTATTACTGAACCGATGAACGGAAACATGGATTCTATTTGTTAAGTAGTTCCTTTATTGCAGCATATTCACTTTACAATGCTTACTCTCCCTCATTTCAAGCCACCACCAAAGATCATTTCACCATTCCATAAAGAAGATGAAACTAAAAGCAACGAGCAGAAAGTACAAGATTCCATGGCAGTAGTGAAGAAGACTATTACACAAGAAGACAGGTGGATTCTAAGAACTAGGACAGAGGGTGGTAAAGAGAGGTTAGTGTCTCCTCAAGTAGAGGTACATTTTAATGTTATGTTCGAGACAGAAACTGAGACCATGGCATTTTTCGTCATTACGCGAGGGAGGTTTTAGTGGTCACGAGCGAAGGGGTTGATTTCCCCCTGGGAAATTTTCAGAAACACTTAATGATTGGTAGCAATGATAATGATGATAAAGATGCATTTATATAACGCTACCTCCATATCAATATGCTCTTATGCGCTTTATACTGCTCTATATGGTACCTTGGTCGCACTGCATTGAGCAGTTTACAATTTTTGAAAGGAAATTTAGCAGGTGCCCTAAGCCCAGACCAAAACACGGGGGACTGGGTTGCCTACTCTTCGTGAGGAGTACGAGAGTTCTTTAACGTCCCCTACTAACCAGTACAGAGAAGATGCATGAGAGGGGGCTGGGCCTACAAGTTATCGTCCTTGTTCGAGACATATGACGAGAATGTCTAGCGCATTTTCATCAGATGTTTTAAGAACCTGAGTATTTTTCAGGTCTGTGGCTTGAACCTTCGACCTCATTCAGTGCAGTGCTGTAAAACTTATCTCATTATCATTCATCAATTAGAATCCACGAGGAGACCATGAAAGCATTTGAATCGTCGCTAGACGTATGTTGGAAGTCACTCAATGACCTGGACGAAGAATCGCTACAAAAATTTTCAGCTGTTGGGTCAAACATCAAAGAAGTTAGGGAGCAGCTCGATGAAATACAGGTACCTTAAAACAACAACAACAAAATTACCATACAAGAAGGAAAATTATTAAGAACCTATTGTGTATCATAAAAACTTTGGGCTTTTAACATCTGAAACTTTTTAAGTTGTCCCTAATTAAGGCCCCCCCTTCCCATCCCCCGCTAAAAGAAGATAAAAAAATTGGAAAAAATTGGACAAGAAACCGGGAAACAGAGCGCCGCAAAAGTTAACTAACTAGTGTAGAACTCAAAGATATAGGAGGGGGGATTGGGTAGGATAGGCTTCTCGTCTTGCTGCCACCTGGACAAAAAAAACATATTAAGGTTATTTTAATCGGAAAACAAAAAAGTATAAGGCAACGTGTATATATTCTAGGTCCGAGAAAGACGGGAACCATTTAAAAGAGAAATAAGAAAGTGATGCATAATGTCATGCTATCCGCTGCTTGTCTTAAATTCAGAATTAAATACTAAGTACAAAACTGTAATCCCTTTTGCCATAATTACATTCCCACCGGTTGCTTTCGAAATTGATGATTCTTGTTGTAAAAGGTCCCTTCCTACATGGGAACATAGTAAATGATCCGACCTCACTCAATCCCACCACAAACAAGAACCTGCCGACACTCGAATCCCACGAGGATCTCTTTATTGACCGTGGTTCGACTAATATTCAACATCTTTATTGGCATTTGAACCATTTTCAAGGATCTGGAACAAAAGATGTCCAAGGAAGATGCTTCATTTCGTTCGGTGAAGGAAACATTTGAAGCAACTGAGGGTAAAAATTTGATGAAGCAAGAGGCTCGCGATAGGCTGCAAAGAAAAGTTGACGATTTGAATTCCAGATGGGAGGAAATGTGGCGTTCCCACGACGTTAACAAAGACCGGTACATGTCACTTGACTTCTGTAGGCCCGGAAATATATTTTTCTAGTGATAGGTGGTATTTGATAAAAGTGGATGAAAATGCGGTGTTATGTCCGCTATAGCTAGCTAAAACCTTCGAGCCTACTCTGGAGCATAGGAGGTTTTCAGACGGAATGACTCACTCAAATAGACTATACCAGCTAACTTTGATTATTACACTGATATCTTACTGAGTAAATGTCACCGTCTTATACGTTAGGGTATCGTAGACCAGGATCTCTCTCCCTGGCGGTAAGGAAAAGTGCCCTGAGGATCTAAGTTGATCACGCACAACACCAGTTCACGTTCTGTTTTAAAAAAATTTGGTCTATTTTTTCTCTTTTTTGTTGTCTGATAATGCAATATCTCTCTTTTCCAATTAAACCAAACGCAAGGAAAATTGAACAAAGGCAGGGAAAAAAGCAATTGCTATCACCCTCTGTGATTCAAAGTTTGGAAACGACAGGCTTTCTATCATGGATATGATTTACTTTTAACATGACTTCTCGTTCACCATTTTTAAACTTAATGCATATTCTACAGCTTGGTACAAGCCATTTTGATCATGGGTGGCCAGTGGATGGGAAGAGTGAATGAAAACCTTGACGATCTGGAAGAGGATATCAAATCAATTGATATCAAAGATGGCGACTGGGAATCGTTGCGTAATTCAGAACAGAAACATAAGGTGCGAAAACCGTTAGTTTGGCCATGGTCATAAGGGAGTTGAAATTGACTGTATTTTCAGTTAAATTAATCGTAAAATTCCAGTGCGACTCGGTCTGGCATAACTAATAGTGCTTCGGGGCAAACATTTCTTCGCTGCGGAAAAAGTCTTAGGCCTTGAACAATCCGAGCCAGCGAGAGGTCTACATAGGGGCCACACACTGAGCTAGTACCAGACCCCTTTCTTCCTGTCTCAGCTCAAATCCTCGTGGCTGGAACGGAGAAACGCCTATCTTCCAATGCTGATAATAAGGGCCTGCTCACAGGCTAGACTCGGTCTTGTTAATTAGCCGTTGATAATTGCGATCGTAATGCTTCTCTAGAAGGCCCACAGTAAGTGCTGTAAGAGACACGCAGAAAGGATTTCAAGAGTCTGCGAAACGATCATATGTGCCAACGATCAATAAAGAAGACCAAGTCGCGCTGCAAATTGTTCAGACATTTTAGACTATTGCTTATTGGCTACGAAGAGAATAATTTGCTCCTTGCACTTCTGTTTATCTTGTAACTGTTCTGCAGAGATTCCTTAATACAGCTGTTCCAACTTGAAAAGTGTATTCCTTGACTTTTCGAAATTAAATGTCTACTGGACATCACTCTTTATGTTCGAACGAGCTAAGCTTCCAGCTACATAAGATAGCTATATAAAATGATTAATAGGGAATTGGGTTGGGCTTTATCCGGCTAACAATGACGTCCTGTCTGCGCTTAACTTTTTAAAACGAATCGTGTTTTCACCTGAGGAAACGGCCACTGTTGTTTACACTGAAAGTTTTGATCAACGACAACTAATGATTTTTTGAGGTTCCCAAGGAGCATTTCCTGTCTGTAAACAACCAATGTAACCGTGGAAACTGGCTGGTCAAGTGACTAGTAGATGCGATCTACAAATTGTCCACTTTGAGCCACTTAACAACCTGTTAGAATAATTTGACAGCACCTTCCATAATGTTTAATTTTGACCTATCAGGAAATCATGGACAAGATAGGGTCTTATGAAGTTTCGGTAGGTGGCGCAGTGGATGTCGCCAGGGAGGTTCAGCGGCGGGATCTCGTGACCGAGGAAACTGGTGAGACTATTACACATGAAACAGGGGAACTAGAGGACAGGCTGGAACGACTAAAAGCAGAAGCAGAGGACAAAAAGAAAAGGTTTGATGCAAGAGAAAACTACTTTTACTTAGATGGGGAATCCTTCATGAGCACATCTTAACAATACGATAATACTAAAGAAAATTTCAGTTAGAGCAGTTTTCAAATGAGTTTCGAAAAAATAAAACCAAAGTAATAACAATAGCCAATTTGAGAATGTCGACGTAATCGATAGCCAATGAGAACTCAAGATAAAATTAAATAGCCAAACTGCATTAAAAGCGGAAAAACGCGAATGACCAAGTCATGATTGTTTTTAGTTTGAATTTGATTGATTTAGAAAGCGGTGCGAGTTTTCAGAGCAAAGTTAAGCAAAAACAAAACAATAATGAATTAATTTCGACACCCACTGCTCTAATTTCGAAAAGTCAGCTGAAATTACATTACTTCCTCTTCACCTCTCTATGACAGGTCCCGAGAAAAATCATCACACCATCTGAGCCAATAAAATAAGAAAAAACAAAACCAATTGCACTTTAGCCAGTCGTGTTTTATTGCGCTTTAAGCAGTTCCTTTGTCATTTACTCTGGTATCTCATTTGAATATATACCTTCGTTCTAATTGGCTGTTGTGAAACTTTCGTTTTGATGGCACGACGCTCAACTAAAACGCATTCTACCTCTTAGGATTTCAGAGTCCTTGCGTAAGATTGAGCACTCTACTGCTGTTCATGAGGTTATGGTGCCCTCCAGTGTGTCAGTTGCTCACTCTGCTCCCGATCAGATTAATGGCGATTCTGATGAAGGATTTGTGGAACCAAAGCGACACTTTTTTCAGAGAAAAGTTACCTATGAGGTAAGAAAATAAATTCGAGGCTAAAAACAAACGAATTACTTCCAAGTGAGATGTCAAACCATACCGCAAATACAGCCGAGATAGAGCGGTTGTCATAAAGGTAAATTAAATAAATGAATATCATACAGTCTATTTTTGTTTTTTTCTTTGTTTATTTTTATTGTGTATCTTTGTCAATGCTTGTTTCATGCAGCAAACTAATTTTACACATTTTTAGTCAATCATAACCAAGAAGATGAAAGAAATGAAGAAAGAAAGCAAGGCAATGAATGAATGGATGGACGAGACTGAAAAACTTGTGGGTTCACTTCGAATAGATATGGATCCAAAAAAGGCTTCCAGGGTGCAGCAGAAAATTGACGTAAGTAGAGCAACAGCCTTCTAAATGATCAAACTTAACCCTTAAACTTCCACAAGTGATAAAGACAGAATTTCTCGTTACAGCATCAACGCAACATCAAGCAGACAAGTGATGAGAATTAACAAAACTTAATATAAAACTAGGGGATAATATATAGGTTGATCCAATACCAACTTCTCCGAAGTAACACCGCAAGAAATTGTATGGCAGACGGTAAGGAGTATTACTGATGAGATCTAAGGAGTGAAAGGGTGAGGCACCGATGGTCAAAATCCATGCAGCTACCTAGAAAAGGTGATCACATGTTTCGATACGTAATTACCAAATTTATAATTCTGGTCGATCAGCAAACCGTTTAATTTGAATTTCCATGCGAAATTCGAAATTTCTGGTTTATCTTCCGTTTTAACCCTACTGACTGGATAATTGGCCTCTTAAGGAGAGTTTCATCAACGATTGGATGCATGGTTGATTGGATGGAGCGTGGGAGGGATGAACGGACGGATGGACGGACGGATCGATCGATTTGAGTTACTAGTTATAACTTCTGTGAGTTACTTTGACATAGCTCTGCTATGACACAGAACTTTACCTGATCATTTCAGGCCCGATTGGAAGAGGTTAATGAGAAACAGTCAAAGGTAAACCGCGTCATCCAGCTTAGCAAGGAGATTGAGAACGAGACCATTGACCCAAACGTCAGTGAACCTTTTGTGAAGGAAGCCAAGGCTCTTGAGGAAAGGTGGGCCAAGAACAAGGACTTGCTCGAAAATCATGGAGAGACAGATGCTGCCAGCAAAGCTTCATCTGGAAGCTGCTGTATTCTGTTCTTGAAAAAACGATTGTTACCAGTTTGGTCGGTCAATTAACTCTAAATCGCAAGAGATATATTCAATTACTTTCAAGGGAGCTTCTGATCATAAGAGATGGACGTACAATCGATTAAACATTTAATCAAACAATTCTGAGAAAGGCTCCGACGAAGGGCTAACGCTCGAAACGTCAGCTTTTGTAATCGTTACGGTGGCCAATTTACCATTTCAACTTTGCTGATATATCCAAATTAATTCTGAGAAACGTTACGTAAAGTTTAAGTTAAAACTTATTTCCTTCACTACTTGAAGCTTGGTTCTTAAGGGATTAGAAATTTGACTGCACCTTTACACTAACACTAGTGTTAGCTAATACAAAACTATTCTGTCCTATTAAAGAAAACGAGCAATTGAATCCATTTAAATTCTTTGCTATCTGTGCCTGGCTTTAAGCACTGATTGGCACAATTGAGTTAAGTTGAAATCATTGTTTTTTTGTTTTTATGTTTTGTTTTGTTTTGTTTTTTATCTTATTTTGTTTAAGGGGCCCCAGTGACAGGGATCATTTATAACGTCAAAAAATGTTACAAGATTTTATCGCGCAATTAAGATGTTAGTCGCGGTAAAAGCAAGGAAAGCTGGAATTGAATTTACTAGTAGAAAAATATATATTGGCTAATTCATTATAGATATCACGCTTAGTTCAATTACGAATTCGTAAAATTTGGTTGTTTAATTGATTACGTAAAAGAAATGCTCCAGTAATGAATAGCAAAATTATTTGAAGAAAATGGCAGCTGACTAGGACGTCAGAGACATGTATTCAAAATATGAAAAGTAGGTGCACGCATAATGGTCTAAAATATTGTAATTTCGTTGTTTAAACTGGAAAAATACGGTAGGTTAAGTCGGAAAGGGTTGAATAGAGTGTCATCTCTGGTCAGAATTGATTTAGAAAATGTTAATGTCAAGGCGATCTGGCCAACAAAATATAATTTGTAAGACGTAAGTAGTATTTTTACGTGAAATTCACAAGTTTCTCACTTTATATCTCAACTTTTCAGTCTGCCCTCTACGTTACTTTCAATCTACCTTATGTAATCCGCATTGCCAGCAGAAGCTTACTGAAAAACCTATGTTGACATGAAATACCAACAGTAGCTTTTAGGGGGCATACCTATTGTGATGCACATGCACCCGTAGTAAGTTTTATCTGTAAAGATATTTGCTGAACAGAAAACGACGGGTAAAAAAGATCAGCGAAGAAAATTATTGAATTATAAAATCAACGAATGTGTTCGATTTAACCCAACGCAATTGACCAAAAAAAGTGTTATAAACTTTCCTGTTATCTCAATTGACACTTCAATATCATTAATTCATTTCCTTTCTCGCTTACGTCTGTTAGCGCCATTTCATGTTTCCATTACCCTCTCCTTTTGCACTTATTTTTTCGCTTTTTTAGACAAAGCGTTCTTGCAACTCCCGCACCAGCCTGCACAACCAAAACAGAAACACTGTTCGAGACCCGCACGGAGCAAATCCTCAGCCACTTTGGGGGATTCGGGATGCGAAAGAATTACGAATGAAAGGGACAGGTCATTTGAGAAAAGGCTTCGCCGTAATGCATGCACTTTGTTGAGATGGGAGAGAGTGCGTAACAAGTTCGCAATCGCTAACCGAGCCGCCACACATTATCTGGGTGGGAAAAGACGGAAAAAGGACTGGGAGATATTGAGCCCCTCTCTCCCTTCCTATTTTCTTCCACTTATTTATATTTCCATCTTTAATATGCTTTTTGTCTTTGTAAAATTGCCTCAAGAGGGTGGCCTAACATTTCACGAGGAAATTTTGGGCACTCGCCCGCTAAAAACACACTTAGCTTGCATTGGAATATTTGCTCCTTCCGAACTATCTTCACTTCTCGATAGATGAAGATTGCATTCAAAACCCGTTGAAGAATATGATACGAGATACCTAGAAGTTCCACAAGTGCGATAAGGCCTAAATCATGGCAAATTTGAAACTTTTATCCAAATAGTGAACAAGGGAAGAAATGAACAAGCTTCTAAAATAAATCCTTATCCTTGATTTTGTTCAACTTATCTTTTTCCCAACAGTCCAGTTTTTTCGACTCTTTCTTCCAATCCCCTTCTCTTCATGTTTCAGTATACTTGATTTCTTAAAATTTAACACCAAGTTTGTTGTCAACTCGTCACCTAGTGTATTGCAAGGAGAGCGTTCTGCAACCTCTCTATTTCATATTCAAGCTAGAAGTGATGTATAACACCAGGAGAAAATAACTGTTTTCTCTTGCAGCTGACAGCAAGTTTTAGCGCTAGCACTTGCCACTAAGTTTCTTGGATCTTTATCTGCGTCCTCAGGTCTGAATTTTCCGCAGTTCTGCACACCTAAAATAATTCTTTAAGACAAAAACCAATTTCTCGCAATTCCATTAATTTTGGTATGTTTATGCGCAAATTCACACAATTTTTTCGGGTAAAAGAGTAGGGGTCTATGGCTTTGTGAATAATACGGCTCTTTGTAAAAGAGAGATGCTGGTTTCCGTTTACGGGTAATGAAAATTCTTGCAATGGTCCCTTTATTTGGTGCCCTAAGCGTTTATTCCCTGCATTTGATGCCACTAACAGTATTCACACTTGAACACTGATATGCGAGGGCCACTTATTGTTAGCTGATAAATATGACAGAATTTGTCATATGGAGGGGTATATTACACCAACAAAGGTACATGTAGGTGCAAAATAATTATTTTATTTTCAAAATTCACATAGCATGATTTTAAATTTACCCCACCCCTTGTAAATTGTATATTCCTTTTTAGTTAGCAGCGTAGGAGAGGCAGTGAAAGTGACACTTTGTCTAGTAATAACTTGCAGAACAGGTTAAAACCCTTAGGGACGAAAAACATTAACTGGCAATAAAACAGAAAGAGATTGAAGAACATAAACTGCTTTTTTAGAAAAAGCAGTTTATGCTCTTCATTGAGGTGATATCCACTTCATTCATGCAACTTGAGAACCAACATCCAGTACGACCAACACTACTTGGCATATGTGCACAGGCTTACTTGACATACAAGAAAAATTGCATGCTGTGATAACACCTCGAAGTGTTGACAACCTTCATCGTAGTGTTCCAATAACAAGGAAGAATGGTTTGGTGCAGCAATGTAGAGGGCGCATCCATGTGCCGTCCATACTTCAACTCTTTTCTGTGGCATTAAGGAATGTTTGATTAAGAGTGTATTTAGTTTAAGAAACAACAAAAACATTGACTTTACCTTTCATGGCGGGAAGCTCTACGCCTGGCCAATCTTCTCTTAGTATGGCAAGAATCTCTTCGTATTCCTTGTTTTTCGTATTACGGTTGTTATATTTCTCGCTGCGAATATTCCACAAACTTTCCCTATCTCGCAATGACTCCACTGATAAGGAAACAAGCGCATCTGTCCATCTACAAGATGTACTCGAGGAAGACACCATGCTGGATGCGCAAATGTTAGGGACTTTAGGGACTGGGTTCTACAGATGACGTTGAAAAAATTGTCACATTGTATGTGGCGTCTCATCTACACGGACAATTTTTTTATGCGGCAATTTTTAGTTGCCACATAAAAACTAACACACCAGCTTTTCAGCAAATGCAGTTGTCACATAAAAATTGGTCATTTTTCATCATCTACACGGGCAAATAAAAATTGCCACTTAA